TTTGCAACTGTAGGATCGTTCCCGCATTGTAAATGGGGTTGCAAGTGGTGCTGGTGGATGAGTTGCCGATTGAATTCCATTGTGATTTGCAACTCTAGGATCGTTCCCTCACTGTAAATGGGATTGCAAGTGGTGCTGGTGGAGGAGTTGCCGATGGTTTTGGAGGAAGTCTCGCGAGCGAAATGCGTTTTTTTGAGAGATAGCAGATGCACGAAAGCCTATGTTTTTCCATACAAAGTCCGTCCCCGAACCTCGATGATCTACCTTTGCGGTGCGACGGTTGCGAGACGGTCTCGTGTGTGGTCGCATCATGCTCGGATCATGTTCGGATCGGTTCCGCATTGTAAATGGGGTTTCAAGTGTTTTTCGTGCATTTGCGGTCGACAGAATTCCATTGTGATTTGCAACTGTAGGATCGTTCCCGCAATGTAAATGGGATTGCAAGTGGTGCTGGTGGATGAGTTGCCGATGGAGTTTTGGAGGAAGTCTCCCACGAAATGCGTTTTTGAGAGATAGCAGATGCACGAAACCCTGTGTTTTTCCATACAAAGTCCGTCCCCGAACGTCGATGATCTACCTCTGCGGTGCGACGGGTGCGAGACGGTCTCGTGTGTGGTCGGATCATTCTCGGATATTCTCGGATCATGGTCGGATCGGTTCCGCATTGTAAATGGGGTTTCAACTGTTTTTCGTGCATGTGCGGTAGACAGAATTCCATTGTGATTTGCAACTGTAGGATCGTTCCCGCAATGTAAATGGGATTGCAAGTGGTGCTGGTGGATGAGTTGCCGATGGAATTCCATTGTGATTTGCAACTCTAGGATCGTTCCCGCAATGTAAAATCCTTTTAAAAATTTTCCTTCTAAAAATCCTTTGTGATTTGGCGCTAGTGATTTTCCTTCTAAAAATCCTTTTAAAAAGTGCTTCAAAATCGTCTTTTTTTCGCTCTGGCGTCGAGATCCGGTTTTGGAGCTACAATTTCCGATGCCATTGCGCGTAGTTCTCTTGTGTTTTGCAACTCAGTCTCTGCAGATCGCATTGTAATGGCTGCGTCAAGGTTGCTTCGTGCTGTGGCTGCATTCGTACTACTATTGTCTTTTGCAGCTGGACTTCGTAAATCGTATTGGAGTGGCTGCATGAAGGCTGCGACATGGATTTGTTAGCAGATTTTCTCCATTTTGGCGCTAGTGTTTTTTTGTTGCACGTAGGTTTAGAGCAGTGTGAAGTGTGGGGCGTGAAGAGTGCAGTGTGAAGTGTGCAGTGTGAAGGAAGCAGTGGGAAGTGGGAAGTGTGAAGTGTGGAGTGTGAAGTTTAAGTTTGGAGTGCGAAGAGCGCAGTGTGAAGTGTGAAGTGTGAGGTTTGGAGTGTGAAGGAAGCAGTGAGAAGTGTGAAGTGTGGACTGTGAAGTGTGAAGTGTGAGTGAAGTGTGGAGTGTGAAGTGCGAAGTGAGAAGTGTGAAGTGTGAAGTTTGGAGTGTGAAGGAAGCAGTGAGAAGTGAGAAGTGTGAAGTGTGGACTGTGAAGTGTGGAGTGTGAAGTGCGAAGTGAGAAGAAGTGTGAAGTTTGGAGTGTGAAGGAAGCAGTGAGAAGTGAGAAGTGTGAAGTGAGAAGTGTGAAGTGTGGACTGTGAAGTGTGGAGTGCGAAGAGCGCAGCGTGAAGTGTGAAGTGTGAAGTGTGAGGTTTGGAGTGTGAAGGAAGCAGTGAGAAGTGAGAAGTGTGGAGTGTGAAGTGTGAAGTGTGAGTGAAGTGTGGAGTGTGAAGTGCGAAGTGAGAAGTGTGAAGTGTGAGTTTGGAGTGTGAAGTTTGGAGTGGGAAGGAAGCAGTGAGAAGTGAGAAGTGTGAAGTGTGGACTGTGAAGTGTGGAGTGTGAAGTGCGAAGTGTGAAGTTTGGAGTGTGAAGGAAGCAGTGAGAAGTGAGAAGTGTGAAGTGAGAAGTGTGAAATGTGGAGTGTGAAGTGTGAAGTGTGAAGTGCGAAGTGAGAAGTGTGGACTGTGAAGTGTGAAGTGTGAAGTGTGGACTGTGAAGTGTGAAGTGTGAACTGTGAAGTGTGAAGTGTGCAGTGTGAAGTGTGAAGTGTGAAGTGTGAGGTTTGGAGTGTGAAGGAAGCAGTGAGAAGTGTGGAGTGTGAAGTGTGGAGTGTGAAGTTTGGAGTGCGAAGAGTGCAGTGTGCAGTGTGAGGTGTGGAGTGTCGAGGGAAGGACACGGTCGGGACAGGTTGTCTTTGAACTATAGGTTATTTATGTTTGGGAAACTTCCGCCGCCGGCTTGCCCGGGTCTATGTTATCATTTCTTGGCATGAGATTCTAAATTTCTGATGCGGTGCAATTTCTAGCTGAGGAGTATGACATGATAGGCTGCCACTTTTACGCTCTAGTGAACTAACATAGCCCATTGCTATCGAAAATGGCCATTTATAGTTGATCTTCCCATAAAAAACGGCGATTTTCCGTAGTTCTGTTGGTTTACCAAAGGGTAATGAGTTCACTGCCACGATGCAGGTTGGGCCCGGGCGTCTCCATCCGTTTCTGCGGCGGCGTCTCGCTGCTGTGCAGCGTGCCTGAGGAGCTCAGCGGCGACACGGCGCAGGTGCTGGAGCTGGCCACGGCGGCGGCGGCGGGGAAGATCTGCGCGGCGGATCTGCAGAGGTTGGCCATGGCAGCCATGGGGGCCATGGGGGCCATGGGGGCCATGGGGGCCATGGGGGCCATGGGGGCCATGGGTTGGGGATGGAGGTGGTGGATGGTGGTGGATTTGGGTGAGGAAAACATCAGGAAAACATGAAGAATACATGAACAGTGATGAGCGGAGATTGAAGATGCCCGAAAGCTGCAGAAACTTGGGGGTGGAGCTGCAAGAATTGCAGAAACGGTGGGCTGAAGATGAAAACAACAACTGTTTGAAGGTGCCAAACAGTGGGGTGAGAACAACAAGACAAGGGTGGGTCAGGTATTAGGACGGAGGTTGATCCACAGATTTGGTGTGTCATTCACGAGTTGGAGCCAGGTTCCAAAGTTGGGCTGTCGGATGGTAAAGTAGAGGGAGGGTTCGCAAGTCTCGTGCGAATGAGTCTACTTTTGGTGAATAGTCACTGACACCCAGTGGTACGCAACTATGGAGGTGAGTTTCAGCTTCTCCTTTCTCGCGCAGGAAAGGTTGGACCGTTGACCGGGCTGAACAAGCACTGTTGCACTGTGTTCGAGACACTCGTCGTGCATCCAAGCTGCCCTAAGCAGCTGTCCCAAAATCAAGCATACAGGTACCCTCTGGAAAATCAACAATAGCCATGGAAAAGTACCCAGGTCATGCCGGGTGGCCTGTGGGCGGCGGCGTCAGCGTCATTTTCCACATTCAAGCACGCCACTTGCAAAGCTTTCCCCGCTCCTTGCACATTTGCTCCTTGCAAAGCTTTCCCAGCTCCTTTCCTAGTTGGTGGAACATGCGATGACAACGTAGTATCAACGACGTGGTCGTCAGGACATTAATATCCCACCCCACCCCACCCCATATGTATATATATATATATACACATACAAAACTCAAAAAGTAACAAAAACGCACAGGCCACCCGGCACGGCGTTAGCAGCTACCCATTTGCAGGTAGTGCACAGTGGTGTACCTAGAACAAACATGGGCCCTGTTCCAATTTGTTCCATGGCTATCTTAGATCACCAGAGGATGAACCCATACTCCAATGATGGATCTCTCAGCAGCGATGTTTGGATTATTTTGAGGCATGTTGAGCATTTTATGTTGTTATTTTTGTTGGATATCTGTTTTTCAGTGGACATTTCCTCAACGCTGTTGCATCTTATATGATATATACTGTATATATATATATAAGATTAGATTGGTTTTAACCATCAACATGCATCAACCATGAACAGCGATTTGTGGGTCAAGTGGCATCTAGTGGAATTTGGTCGATTCATTTTTTATAGTGGGGTGGGGGAAGGTCACACATGGGCGATGCGGTTACTTCAGAATCGGGGCAATTTACGGTTGAAGATGGTTGAAGCCTCCTTATTCTTTGGGAAAAACAACATAAAACCATATAAAATACCATGGTTTCAACATGTTTCAACCGTAGATTTTCCCACCAAACCCATCCAGTCACCCAATCCATCGTGAGGAAGGACTTTGTTGGGTGGACAAGCAGGACCCAAAGGTGCCAATGTGGTGTTGGTTCCCTAGCAGCTGGGCTGGCTGGGGGCTGACGGATATCACGGACATCACATGACATGAATGCGAGGCATAAGCGCTGGGCTGGGCTGAAAGGACCTTAATCCAGGTTGTTGAAGTATAGTGAAGTATGATGATGTGTGAGGAAATATCCAGAAACATCCGGAATACAGATATCGATGATAACAGCCTAAGCAAAACAAGGCCAGGCATGTGGCAGTTCCCAGCAAGTACAAGCATGGTTCCAATCCATTGGCGGAAGTATAGCGCAATCATTGTCTATACCCTGCCGAGTCCATCAAATTACAGTATCAGCTATCAAAGGTGTACAGATGTACTGCAGTTGCAGCATGATTTTGATGCACAAGTCTTTCATTAAACCACCTGTGTTGCGAAGGAACAGTATGGCCCCTTAGTCTTTGTGCCTTGGGATATTCTAATTCCTCGAGTATGTTAAGTTAAGGACTTTGCTCACGCCACAGCCAGGAGAACCCTGCAATATACAACCAACTTGTGCTTGCAACATGAGGGGTCCTAATCCGAGTCTTGGATGTGACTGGTTGTTTGCTTATGGAGTTCACAAAATCTCCTGGCATACAAGGGTCCCGTGGGTCAACCTCAGGTATTGCCCTAGCCGAACTGGAGAAGCCTCTGTCGGGTGAGTCCGAAGCGTAGGCTTCATGTGGAGCCGCGGCCAGTTTCACCCGGTTTCACCTAGCCCAGCCGTGTCGCCGCCAAAAGTGCCAAGTTCTGCTGCCAAATTGTCAGTGCCCCAGTGCTGTCCACAGTGTCCCCTGCTGTTCCACTTTGCAGCCACAAGGTATTGTGAATAGCAAACTCGTCCCACTCTCCGAGTTGATCCTTGCCGCAAGTTGAGTGCTGGGAGAGATGTAACTGCAGCAATACTGTGACCGATTTGTGCTAATACGCCTGGAGCGGTGAACAATTATTTGCAAATTTTGCAAACCTGCGAACATGTTTGGCCCCATACCTCGTCAATATGAATCCACAGACATGATGACTTAAGACTCAAAACTCACCGCAGGCTTCGCTTTGCAGAGTACAATTACAATTTTGAACCCCCAATTGACACATGCAGTTTTTTCATTTGAATAGGGGGTGGTCAGCTCACATTTGTTTGGATTGTTTAGGTTGTTTAGGTTATATAAGCCCAATAACAATGCCCTTTTTCAACTCTACATTGCTCTACCGTGTGTGTAGCAGAAAGGTTCCCAAAAGCATTTTCTCGCATCCCTTTTGTCAGGTCAAGAATGACTGCAGTTGTGGCAAGAATTGGTGGATGTTCTGAATATGTTCCTACGGATTCCTACATGTCAACATGTTTTGCACTATATTTCTGAGCAAGAGCGCACCAGCACCATGTTTTCCATATGTTTTCCCATTGTGTATGTCTCCATGGTATACCTGTCAAAGGGCCAAGTGTGGCTTTACGCGCATCGGATTCATGGCACAGAGGGCCGCTTAGTGATTTGCATCGGCCTCATTTGAGATAATACTGTGCCCACTTGACTTCAATTGCTTACTATGATAATGATGCTGCTGATGACAATCATCATCATAGCATATCATAGCCATATGTGACTTGATATCTACTTCTAGCTCTATATCTACCGCACATGCATCACACATGCATACAAGATCATACAAGTGCAATATCTATGCTATGAAGAGCATGGCATTTGTTTTCACGGTCCACATGTGGGGCTGGACATGGTTGGACATTGCCAATCCCCATGAAGATAGATTCACTACATTGACCAACTCATCCCACACCATGTACACATCCATATCAAGCTATATGTTAAAAGATGTGAATAGGATTCATAGGCTATTGAAACATCCCGGTTAGTTGATTTGTACATGATTTGATTTATACATGACTGTGACAAAAATAAACAGACAAATAAACATAGATTAATATATTGTATTATATATATATATATATTATATATATGTTATATATATATTATATATATATTATATATATATACACATAATACAATAGTCCACATCTATATCCACCTGCACTCATGGAACTTCAGGGCAGCAGCCGGAAATCGGCTTTGCCGCTTCGCTTCAGGTGGGAGCTCATGGATTCCTACGGCTTGCGCAGACAATTCGAGGAGCTTCTGGTTGCAGCGCCGGCGCCGACGTTTTCGGCGAAAAAACGGACGGAGAAGGCGTCGAAGGCGTCGTCCAATGGGTTCCTTGGCGGAGACCAGCCTAGATTTGTGGTTTTTAAATGGAAATATGGGGAAATAACTTATCAGAGATGATCAAACATGAGACTGATGCATTTGAGGTTAGTTTGCCAGAGGGTAACTCCCAGCAAACGGATTGAAGCAACCAAAATGTGGATTTAGCCAACAAAAAATGATGCTTTGACCATGAACCATGAGGATTTTGCTAGAACAGATCGTGTTTTTTTTTGGCGATGCTTTTCATCATATGAATCATATACCAACAATAGGGACCATATGATATGGGAGTTGAGATGCCAACATCACAGATATCCAGAAGCTATGGTCGTGTATTTGGAGATTCTACTGATTCTACTGCCTGTCACAGGGGATTATTGATAATTTAAACTCACGTTGACCAACCAGGATCAAATATTTCTGGGAAGGTACTGGCCCCAAGGGGGAATGGTCACCATCCTATGATTGGCATGAGGTGGGCTTGTGTTCCAACGTCACGGGATGTACCCTCAATCAACATCAATAGCTAGGCCAATATTTAGGTACTTCACGTGTTTAGTTGAAACCTCATTTGCAACCGGGGATTGGATTTTCCATTGTCCTGCCCTGCATAGTCACAGGCGTTGGTTCTGAACCCTCATTTTGCACCTCAAGCGGTGCAAGAAACTGAGGTGGGAGGGCAAGTGGAAAGACGATTGGGGCTCAGGACCTGTGAGTTCTCAAAGCCATTGCAGCGACGGCCATGGAAAAGGAGACATGGGAGGGTTACGGCCATGCTTCGGTGACGTGCAGGAGAATGGGAAGACTGGGGCAAGTGGAAAGACAAGAGCTCCGGCTACGACAATAGCTATGGCAGTTATGGCAGCTATAGCAAGTACAGCTATGACTACAAAGGTCCGCCGCGGCCAAGTTGATCCAAGAATGGTCTTGGCAGAATTGTGTTGATTTCAACCCTTTCTGTTTTGCCACGGTCAAAAAACCTGACTGTATGATTATGAGTGGCTGCTAATTGCACATATTTTTGCACTTTTCCATCCCTAGGTTGTAAGATGACTAATCAATACTCGGCCAATGAACAGCGATATCAACCGATTTCACGCGTGGCCAGTGAACACCACTCTGGCACCCTTTGCAGATTGGTCCAAAGCCAGTCGAAGTCGTTCGGCACCCAGAGGCCGGAGTGTTGAGAAGCCTTGGGAAAGCGAAACAGACTATGGATTCTTGGGATGGTTTTCATGTTTAGCGGAAATCTGTCCTCCTGAAAACTCACAGGAAACCCGCATCGTTTCATGGAGATGTTTCATCATTTTCCGTAGGACATGGCCGAACTGGAAAAAAAATGGGCCATGGCGAACGCTAATAAATGTTCCATTGGCAAGTTTGAAGGGCAAACTGTTGGGGGTGGTCCAACCTGTCTAACCTTAATGGGCATTTGCATCCAGCAATTGTAAGCACAATCCATGCTGTGACATGCAGTGACACGCATGCAGTAGGGTGCAGCCAAATTGCAGCACAATACCGTTGAAATGTACATATTGGAAGGGTACCAACAATCATATGCAATTACCCCATTTGATCCACAGCTACAATGGCTGTAAAATGCCACTGCTCACTGGATTTCACTGGCGTACCCAAAGATCCCAAGTCACTCCAAAACAAAAGGTCTATCAACATCTACCAGCCCCCTCCAGCCCCAACTCCAACATCTCCAGGCCACCCAAAGATGATCTGCTTATTTCTGCTTGCTTGTCATATGTTGTCATCCCCTTGGCAGGTGACTCCTTCAAGCCTGCACAGAGCCAACGATCGGCCTCTCAAGGCGGAAAAACAGAGGCTGGGTGCAGGGCATGGCAGGGCACAACATATGAAACTGGCAGGTACTGAGAGGAGTCACAAGAGCGACTTGGCAGAAAAGTTGGGAATGCTGCAAGGGATCAGTTACAGTTGGCTTCCCTGTCGGATCTTATGGATCTTATGGGGGAGGTGGATGGATAGATGATGATAGATGCAAGCCTGCCCTGGTTGCTTTGTTTCCCTAAGCATCACAACTTCAAGACATCTGTCCTTGGACTCGCAATGGCAACTGCGTAACTTGTTGATTTTGTTGCTGCTGGTGGCTAGTGCTGAGCATATTCTTACCGCAAAAACATCTTCAGATGTGCGCGATGATCCCCCACTTCACTCCATCTTTGTTGACAGAAGTTGAACTCTTTGAAAATCCATCCTGCAAAATTAGAGCATCACTCTCGAGCACATATGAGATGGCATGCGAACATGGCGGTATACGCTGTACGTGCACTCAAATATAGATTGTTTTTTTAGTCTTTAGAAAGTGGGCCAGAAAAAAAAAAACTAATTATCATACTGTACATATCTGTACATGCTATGTGCTACAATTATCTACAACAATAATTGATGTCTACGGTATCGATCATCAACAAGATTGTCCCATTTTTACCTGCTGCCGTTCACAGGGCCTTCCTAAGGTTTTTCACTCCCGCCCCAGGTGCAAAGTTCAGCAGATCCGTCCACGCAGACGGTGAAGAGCCGAAAGGTACAGCCTGTGTTTTTTTGTGGTTGGGAGACCGCCAAAGATTGTTGGAGGATCATCCCATTTAGCAAGTGCTTCACCCTGGTTACTAAGTCCCCGATTTGTGAGCGTATCCCAAAAATAACTAGCTAAGCCATGGGCCGTGGCGATGTGTGTTTTTATTGATGGTTGGGCATTGCCCTCAGGGAAGTGTTTAGACCACACAACATGCCAAACGAATAGCCTTGGACACACTAGAACCCGGGAGGGTTGTTGCTTCGTGGCTGTATTTCACCCTGCCGCATTTGGTGAGGTGAGAAAGGTGGCGACGAAACCGAGACTTGGAAGGCCTGTGCCAAGCACATCAACTGCTTCTCAGGGTAAAAATCCAGCATTTCGGCAAAGATCGGCAAAGTGTCCGGTGGAGGGTGTCAACTTTGGCAGGAAACCCATGGAAAACCAAATGTTTGGGTGTCAAGTCTCCACCTCCCATTCTCCCACGTCATTTTGCGGAAGATTTTTGCACCAACCGAGAGACGGTGCACCCCATAGCACACCCAACTCGCGGCATAGCGAGTTGGATGCCTTTCAGGAGCCTACAAAGAAGAAGCCTCGCACAGAGATCCAGGCGGTTTCATCAGATACTGTTGGACTCCAGGGATGTGAACCGACTGTTGGTGTGTTTGCTTGGTGAATGATGTTGAAACATGTTTAAACATGTTTAAACATGTTTAATAATGTTTATAATATTCATGGCTTAATTGTGCTCGAATGGTTGGCATCAACATCGTCGAAAAGACATGAAAAGACAAGAATGGCTCCAGAATGGCTGAAACAGACTTTGGCGCGATGACTATGGAGACAGAGAGGGGTGTCGCCATGAGCTCCAAATCAGAAATATCCAAGAAATTGTGGAAGAGCTCTCATTCTATACAGTGATTGATATTGGATGATATTACTAGTATCATTATCCCTATCAAAATGGCTATCAGTCTGAGTATATACCGTTTTCAGACACACTTTGGTGGAGTTTACCATGTGCAATTCTGACTGAGTTATCCTTTGTGGACATCTCAGTGAGAAAACTTGTAGGAAAACTCACGACTGAGGGAGCAGACAGTCCTGGCCATGGGATGCCATGGGTCAGAACATGCCAGGACATGTCAGGACATGCCAGGGCCAAGGATATCACATGGTATCACCAGATGCTTTCACATTGGTCGCGTCCAGTGTCCATGAGATGAACATAGATGAACCAGCTCTTGCAAGGCCCCTGAGCGACCAGAGCGAGAAGTTTCAGGGGCTAGCCTCTTCAAGGAGGCTTGAGTCGAAACGTGTGGACAAAATGGGGTTGGGTAATGCTGGGCGCTGTTTAGTTGGCATTTGGGTATTCTAAATTAAGAGAGACGTGCAATTATATGTGCATGTTTGCATGTTTGCCCGGATAATTATATTTTCGTTTTTTTCAGGATGGTGCCAATGTGTGCCATTTTGGCAACAAATGCCAGGGTGCCAGGGTGCTCATGAAACACAGCACCTGGCACCCACTGCTTGTCCTGAGAGAGGCTTTCATGTTTGTTCATTTAAGGGAAAACTTGTAGGAACCCTCCCTATAAAGATGGGAGACCAGTGAGTTCAGGGTTTTAACGCTTATGCACATGATGTATCACGATGTTGCATGCCCACGTTGGAAATCCAAGCCCCACATAGTCTTTCCCGGCAACTATAATTTTGTCATATTTTGTCTAGTAAGCTGTGGCTGTGTTTTTTGGGGCCCCATTTGAAACTTGAAACTGATGATTTTAAGCTCAGCTTTCAGCACTGGAGGCGATTGCCACTCTCCCTGAGACTGTCTACGGTCACGATGATCGTCACGACGACCGAGAAGCGCCGTGGATAGGCAGCTCCCTTCAACGGGTTGTCGCGTCAGTTTGTCTCACTTCATGGGCTATTTATATTTACAATCCTGGCGTGTGGCAAACAGCTGGAAAACATGTTAGAGAGACTCTAAAAAATTGGATGTTGATGAACTTTATGGATCTTTATGGTGAAAATAAGATCTTGGTCAATTTGTGCCTTAAGTTGGTAGGTTTCATGCAATCGATTTTCACCCTACCTGGACGAAAAACGGTGCAGGTGGGCCGCCCGGGCCCGGTGGGCCTGGTGCTCGGCGGAGAGAAGGTCGTCCGAGGGCCCAGCCCTCTTAAGTCCTTTGCGTAATGTGTGATGAACACATCATTTGGAACCATAAAATCACTGGAAAATGGTGGTTTAATGGGATTTTAATGGGATTTTATAGTGATTTAATGGGATATTAATGGGATTTACCCTCTGGTAAACTAACATAGCTATTGAACATGGCCATTTGTAGTGGATTTTCCCATAAAAAATAATGATTTTCCATAGCTATGTTAAATTACCAGAGGGTAACACATCATATTAAACCCATAGGATCCATGTATGCCATATATGCTAACATTGGGGGTATATTGATGGTAAATGTTACCATATATAGCATACATGGATCCTATGGGTATTAAAGAAAATGCTCAGGTTGTACCATTTCGACATGCATATTAGCTCAGATTGCATGGTTTGGGCATTGCATGGGTCATACTTCTACAATCTTCTACATGCTATTTATGTGTGCAAAGCATTGAATTCTGCTCCGCGAAACGCAGGGAACTGCTGGTTGTCCAACCAAGGAACCAACGGAAGGTCCACTCCCGAAGTCTCGGACAAACCCTTGGAGGGCAAAAACAGCGATGTGGAGCGGCCCTTTGTTCCTGGGCAGAAGGATGGGGGCTGCGCACTATGACAGACCTTGACAGACCTTGATGATCGTACTGCGGCACTGCAAGTGGCCAACCTTCAGGGTTTTTCGGGGGTTGTACATGTTGTTCCAAATTCCTCCAAGTTTCCTCAAGTTTCGATGCTTTGCGAAACGACTCTTCTCCATGCTGAGATGCGATTCGATGGCTCCCCACGGGCAGAGGATGTACGACCACTGCCTGTGTTGCGCGAGGCCTCACCGATACCAATCAAATTGAGAATTGGAGGATATTGGAGGACCCCAAGAATACCCTCAACTCAACTGTGGGCCTTGATGGTCCTAGATGTTTTTGGTTGTTTTGAATGTCGTTGGGTTGCCCTCTTGGAGGAGCCCCGCAAGACTTAACCAACATCTCAGGTATATTGCAGGATGCGCACCAGCCATCTCATGACATTGCCCAGAAACAAACCAAGTTGAAGTCTTGCGTGTACCCTCAAATTTGATAGTTATCATATATGGTATCATTGGTTCCTTTTTAAATTAAAATTGGCCATTCATTCACCGTCAGGCTTTCTCGCGAGCAAAGGAGCGCTGGGAGAGTAGCAGGGACTGGAGCTACGTGGGAGAGATGCCTCTCGGAACCAACTCGCGGAGTCTGGCTTTGATTTCTCAACTTTGATGATCATTTGCTACTAACATTGCCATTGATTTACATTTCCCTCACTTATATATATATAACTTATATATATATATTATAATATCATGTCATCAAAGTTTCGGTTCTGACAGATGTTGCCTCTGAACATGGCCATAAATTGCAGCCTTGATCCCCCTGGGCCAAGGCTGCGGAGCATCCGGCAAGACTTGACCATTCAGATGGTGCAAGACGCTTTTGTTGTCGAGGCCATGGCCTTTTCGGGCTGTTTGTTACATAATATTATAATGATATATATATACATAGATATTATATATATACATAGATATATTACAATTACAGTATAATTTAATAAAAATAGTGATATAATTATCAGATTATCTATATAGCTATTGGAAACGTTTATTTTTTTTTCATGTAACCCAATGCCATAAACCTACCATTTGGGGATGGTTTGAAATCCCAGGCATGGCCAGGGTACAGGGGAATAGAGCTGATCAGCCATTGGACTTGCCGGGGTGTAGCTGGTTTTCGGAGAAACGGGCATCCAAGGTGATATCCCATTCCGCAGCAGTGGTCCCAGACCCGTTACCTTTTGGGGAAAGATCTATCATGTAACATCATGTCATTATTGTAATATGATTCACATGATTATGATGTAACTGACTATATATATATGTATAATATAATTAATAAATGGTAGTTTTTTTCAACTTGGTGCTTCGGCACGGCCAAAATATCGATCCTTCTGAAGAAGCCTGGTGGGGCAAACGACGCTATCGTCAGGTTCATGAATATTGGGCCCAAGTGGCACTGGAGTTTGGTGACTTCAAACAGTTTGACCAGGCAGCTGCTCAATTGGAGGCGCCCCCCACCACTGTGTGGATCACTGCGTTAAAGCCCTCTTGATTAGCTGTGATTCAGCCCTACGATTCAACATGGAACACCCCATGGGGTCTGGAAGGTGATGTTTTCTCCTATTAATCTATTAGATATTAGTTAGGCCATGTTGGGTGTTGGGGTTTTTAGTTTTTATATGCATTTTGTGAGGGCGTAAACATTTCTTCGCAGGGCCTCTCCGATCCAATAAGCAAGGGATGCACCAGAGGATTAATATACACACCCAAGAGATAGAAACTTATTTGCAGGATGCTAGTTTGATGATGTTTTCCCTGATTTCTATTGATTTCTAAGATTTCAATTGTTTGGCATATTTTTGTGGGTTGCTATATCTTGTTTTTGATCATGAGATTGATTTTTGTGAGCCCTTCGGACTCAGAAGACAATCCGATGCATGTTTTGGGGGGTATCAACTTGTTTTGCCAACAAGAAACTCTTGGGTAGACATGACAGTGGACCCAAAAAAGATCGAAAAGATTCGAACAGTAAAATCTCACTAAAGCAGTGGTACACACACATATACCATATTGTAATATTATATATATATACATATACATAATTAATTATACATATATATATATACATATATTGGTGCATGTTCCTGCAGATTCCCAGGGTTCCCCTGCTTTGACCTACATATGACCCAAGATTCTCGAAGGTAGGCCGAGGTCCAGGTTCTTGGCTCTGGCATGTCTTGGCTGTCGAGGTCTACTACGTGGATCCCACTTTGGAAAGTGGCGCAGGGAAGGTGCAAGACGCTTGCCCTGATGGCGTCGGATGGCGTCGCCATGGATGGCACATCTCTGCTGATGGCGATGGTCAAATCATGGAACCAGCAGAGTTGTAGGTCGAAGGATGCTCAATGGGAGTTAAAAGCAATTAAAAAGATCAATGACTATACTGTATACATCTTTTGATCCTATTTGGAGGTTTCAAGTTGTCTCGCAATTTGACCCAGCGTAAAGTTCGAACGGTTCAAACTTAAAATTGGATGATTTCAGTGGAAGCGAACATGAGAAACGCAGCACCAATGAGGAAGTCCTTGCCTGGCGCCTGCTGTATTTCACCTTGGAGGCACAGGGGATGGGGATGGTGGTTGGATTTCATGTGTACTTTTCATTGCTTTTCAGTATTTTTCGTGATACTTAAAGATACTTATAAAGTTTTTATTAATGGTTATTCATATGTATTCATTCACGGACATTGTTGAATTGTATTCATTGGAATCATCAAAAAGGGCTGATGAGGGCCACAATGGCTCAGATTTGCGGAATCTTTTTTTCAAGCACCAGCTAGCTGATCGAGTTGCTGATCTCTGTCGGTTAACTGGGCGCATGTTTTTTTTTGGGGAAGATATTTGATATATTTAATATATTTGATATATTTGATATATTTGATATATATATATATATAATAATAATAATAATATATATATATAATATATATATATGATTTATTTACCATATAGATGTTCCTGTTGCATCCTTTTGCCTGGAAAAAGAAGCAGCACATCATTGCGGGTTCACCCAGCGCCAGGGAGAAGGTTTAGCCACGACGGAGTTTCTGCGGCGCTTTTGGGGGCGCTTGGACAACAGTCCAGTGGTCAAGTTCGCTCGAAGGCTGGTGGAAATTCGACGATTTCCTGCTGGAAGTTGGATGCGTTTTCAGTGCCATGTTGGTTTTCAGGGGTGTAAACCTGGGTAGTTTGGATGCGTTGGGTCACGATACTGGATGGGAGAAATCCTGCACCGGTTGATAGGTGGTTTATCCCATTATTTATAGGGTTTCAACCATCCAAGGTGGTGCAGGATTTCTTCCACCCACCATGATGACATTTAAGTTTGGTTTCTCACGTCAGCACCAGGCTCCGTAGAGTCATGAGCCAGCGATGTTTCTCGCAAGCAATCAAGTTGCTGTCCACGATCCTCGGCTCCGAAAGGTCCACGAATCATGGCAAGTCGAACTATCCAGTGTATCCCTGTACATGGGTAAGTCTTTCAATACAAGAGGAGGGCTATTTTTTTCGTTTTGTTTCTGTTATTTGTGTTTTGTTTTTCCAGCCTGGCTTTTGTGGCTTCTGTGGCTTTTGTGGGTGTGTGGCTTTTGTGCTTTACCATGCTTTACCTATCTAATTATCTATCTAATCTACTGTAATCTTATTTTATCTAATCTGATCTCATTCTATCTTGTTTTATCTTGTCTTATCTTGTCTTATCTTGTCTTATCTTGTTTTATCTTATCTATCGAATCTATCCAATATATCCAGTTTATCTATCTAATTTATTTGTCTAATTTGTCTGATCTATCTACTCTGTCGAGTCTAACCTATCAAATATATCTAATCGATCTAATCTAATCTAATCTAAACGATCTAATTTAGCCTATATATTTATATAATCATTATAACCTATCTATTTCACCAATCTATTTAATCTAGGTGTTTAATCTATCTATTTAATATGTCTATTGATTCTGTCTATTCAATCTATCTATGTAATATGTTTTTTTAATCTATCTATTCAATCTATTTTATTTAATCTATCGATTTAATCTATCTATTTAATAAATCTATTTAATCTATCTATTTAATCAATCGATTTTATTCTATTTATTTAATCTACTAGTATCGATTTAATCTATCTATTTAATCTATCGATTTAATCTATCTATCCATCTCTCTCTATCTCTCTATCTCTCTATCTCTCTATCTCTCTATCTATCTATCTATCTATCTCTCTATCTCTCTATCTATCTATCTGTCTGTCTATCTATCTACCTATCTATCTATCTATCCATCCATCTATCTATCTATCTATCTATCTACTCTTCGATCTATTATCTGGGTTATGTCTTATCTATCACATATCTATTCGATCTATTATTACATCATCTATGATATCATCTATTAACTAGATATTCTATCTATCTAATCCAGCTAATCTATCTAATCTGTCTAATCTATCTAATCTATCTAATTGATCTATCTATCTATCTATCTATCTATCTCTATCTATCTATATTTATCTATCTATATCTCTATCTATCTCTATCTATCTCTATCTCTATCTCTATCTCTATCTATCTATCTATCGATCAATCGATCTATCTTTGTTTTATCAATTTGATCTATCCTATCTATCTTATCTATCTTATCTAAATCATTTATCTTATCTATGTTATCTATCTACTCTATCTAACCTATCTTATCTTATGGATCCTTTCTATCGTATCTATCTTGTATGTTGTGTCTAGTTTATCTATCTTATCTATTTTATATATTTTCTCTAT